GAATAAGTATTTGTATTATTATTTATTATAAATTCTAATCTACTCTTATAACCAAGATTAATATACAGTAAAATTTTAATTAAACTGTTGATTGATTGTTCTTTCACTTGGTCAAAAAGTGACATTAATCTTTTCTTTCTTTTCTTTTAAAATTAATATAAATAAAAATTCTAAGATAAAAAGTATTAATAAAACAAAAAGATGTCCGAAACACGATTGGGCAGCATTTTGATAAATCCGTTTTATTTATTATTATTATGTATATTTTTGAATAATAAGTTGTTTTTAATAATTTAATAAAAATGCTAGAGAAGTGAAATTTTACATGCATAATTTGACGAACAAATGTTATTTTTTTTTTAATTTTTTATTATGTATGTTTAAAGGTGTGCACGGCTTTTGTCCATATTAACATATCATTTCTAATTTGCCAAATATTCATGAAACCAATTATCAAAAAATTTTTAAAAATAATGGCAAATCAACCAACAAGAACTGATGAATGAAATTAGAAACATTATTATCAATTGTTTTATTTGAATACCAATCATGTGATTTGGAATTAATAATGAATGGGGTTTTCACCATTAGAAGATTTCATGATGAAGATATATAAATCAAATAATAAAACCAATTATTTGTTTAAATGTATTTTTTGCTTCATTAAAACAGGTAAAATTAGACTAAATGTTTTTCTAGTAGAATAATAAACTAAAAAATTATTAGAAAAAAGTGGCACTCATCACATTGAAGCAGGAATAAAATACCACGAATTTAAACTATGACCTTCTGATCCCGACCTTTCTTGGTGATTGATTGACCATATCAACTGAAATTGCTCCATCATTTTCTTCACCCTCTTCACTATCAATATACGTCATAATTTCTGTCACACTTGGTTGAACCAGATCCTGATTGGATTTTAAGAAAAACTTCAGATCAAATTTGCAAACTTGCACTAATACAAAAGTCAAACTTACCCTCATTTTCCATAAATTTTGTCCAAATTTCGGAAAGTGTTCTCATTGTTATTGGATACTCGAATTTGAATTCGAGCTTGAAATAATATATTGCTGAAAATAGCATACACATTGAATAAGCGTAAAATTTATGATCTATAATTTTAGATTGATCATCAGAGTATATATTTCTAATACTAAAGTAACAGGATTGCACAACTTACTATAGATTTGGGTTCCATAAAGCTTTATACTTTGAAGTCACCAGGATACTTGATGATGATATAGTTCATAATTATTTTCAACATTTTAACAATTTTGTTCCGATCACCCACATAATGGGTATGATCTTGCTCATTTGGAGAACCTGATACTTCCATGATCACATTTTCTAATTTTGATATCGGCAATGCTTATGACAAGGCCAATCTTATTACCGTGACTACATCTATAATTATCTTGGAGTAATTCGTTCTTTAAAATTGCTGATGCTTTTAACATTTTCTCTCCCCTATTAAAGAAATAAGTTGTATAAGTCTGAGCATAAACTAAACAAGAAGAAATGGTATTTACTAATCCAGTTTTAAAGACTTATTGTCCTTAAAAAGCAATTTGAAAATTTGAGAACAAAATTTATATTCAATCTTTTCTTCTGTAAACTTGTTATGACAATCCTTGAATTGGTGTTTGCTATAGTAATTTCAAAGGTTCGCACGTCAGCAAGATCAACTACATTAAATGCAGGGAAAACCTTAAGCCGGAAGATACTTACAAGATCTTTGCAAGCTTTAAAGTTTGCTTCTTATATTTTTCATTAGAAGATTCCTGTAATTTAACCTTCTTGTTTTTGAGGACATTCTCCAATCGCACCCAGGTTGCCTTTTTTTTACTGATGAAGAAATTATTAGAAGCCAAATCCTGAGGTTGATGATTCTGATGAAGAGGAAGAAGTGGAAATGATGGTTATTTCTGATAAAGAGGCATTAAATAGTTTTAGAAAAAGTGATTCAATATTTAAAAAATCCACCAGATAATTTTATAATTAACTATCAAGAATTAAAAATGATTAATAGTTTAAATCAAAAATTCATAAACATGTTTAGGATAATGCAAAATAACTTATTATTATGTTAGACAGTTTTATTTACTATGTATCTATATGTTGTACATGAATTTATTTGTGTTATTAATAAAAAATTGATCTTGTTATAAGAGACTTTTCAATTTATTATAATAAGTCCACTATAATGAGCTTTGACTGTAATCACAATTAATTGAGGTGCCATCTTTATTTCCAAATCATTGTATGCCTCATCCCAGACAAATTCACCAATATTGTCAGGTCCATTTATGTATATATTATCAATCATTAAGCTGTTTTAGAGAGCTCAAATTCTTAAAATTATCATAATAATCATTCAACACATTCTAGTTCCATTAAAAAAGAATGATTAAATTATTCTAATTAACATGTATTTTGTGTATCCAAAATTTATTGTACATCTCAATATAATTACTGTTTTTAATAATTGGTCAAATAGCTTTAGAGATTTCCTTTCGATAGCTGAATCTCCATCACTCAGTAAATTACGTCTTATATTACCAAAGACTCTTTTGTTATTACCATCAAAATCTGTAGTGACAATTGTTGTATCATTATTCTCAGCCGTGGTGTCATTTATTTCATGATTTTCCATTATGGCTTGAATTAAATTATAAAAATATTTGATCTTATATTTTAAAATGTTATTATGATCAATGTTGATTTGATTCTGATTAGGATGTTGATTATGAGTCAATGATGAATGATGTCAATTAAAATAATATTTAATATTTATGTGAGAGTGTATTATTTAAAGTCGTCAATGAATATTTAAGTGAAAATAAGGTTAGAATACTACCCCACCCTCCCTATAGTCCATATTTAGCACCCTGTGACTTCTTTCTGTTCCCTAAAATCAAAAAAGAACTGGGTGGAAAAAGTTTTGATAGTATAGAAAATCTTGCACATGCTGTTCAGGCAATTACTGATAATGTCACAAGTGATGAATATCAAAACTCTTTCCAGGAATGGCAAAGGCGGCTGAAACTTTGCATAGACGTTAATGGAGAGTACTTTGAAGGAATGCAATAGTTTTTTAAAAAAATCAAAATGTAATTTAGTTAAATAAAAATCGATTCTCAAAACTTTTCAGACACCCCACATATTGTTAAATTTGTATAATATATATTTATTTCATAAATAATAGAAACAAGGTAGTTTGTTCTTGATTATTGTTAAATTAATGGTTTTGTATTATTAAATAAAATTTGCTTCCGATATCTACTTGATAAAACTTATATGTCACGAAGCCTCTTCTCAATATTAAATTTTTGTGTAATATGATCGACAAAAATCATTACCAATTATAAGAATATCCACCATGCTTTATTAACTGTCATTTAAAAATAAACCATCCGCTTAACCTGCTACTAAATGGTAATAGAAAACAAAAAAAGAATTTTCTTCTATATGAGTGACAAATCAAAAGCTCGGTTTTTTATTTCAGAATTCCAAAAACTTCTATGTATGAATGAATAGCTGATACAATTAAAAAAGAGCGAGTGTCACATCGATGTTCCTTATCCAAAGAATCTATTGTTTTTGCTAACCTAATATTAAAGCAAAGTTATTATTGCGGTGTGAACTTTTTGAGCATACACTATCCTTCCAAATTCCACAACATACGGAAGAGCTTTTATTACCATTACCACTACTATATTGATGATTTTCGCAAATGAACTAAAACGAACTATTTTACATGTTAAGCTGTACTATCATCCAAAATACCGACTATTCCTATTCGCAATTCTTGGCCATATTCGAATATTCAAAAGTTTTTGGACAAAATATTTGAATTACATTCGAATTTTCGAGCATTCGTAGTACTTTGGTAAAAAGTCTTGAATCACAAAAATTTCATATAATGAAACGTTTATTTATGATAACGACATTTTTTATAAAGTTAATATTAATTTCACAATCTAAACCAGTGTTAGTGTTGTTATTATTATGCAACGGAATTCGGAATCTGGAATCATGTATCCCATTGTTCCATTTCATTGATGCAAGGTCACACTGGAATTCGAAGAATTCAACCAATGAAATTTAAAACAATATAAATATAGAAACATGTAAATAAAATATATACATAAAAAAGAAAATTCTTGTCTATTATTCTAAATCTTTTTGATCTATTTTGCGATTCTTTTTTTCGCAGTGTTTGGAATCCTTAAATCCTGAGCTTCTGTTTTACCATACTGAATCCTATTGTTGTACATCATTTACATATTGTAAGACAATTTATCCTTATATTTTTATCAGTATAAACAAATTCATGGAATGCATGATTTGATTTCCCACCAAGATTAATTGACATTTTTTCAAAATATTCAAAATAAAAAGTTAGTAACACCGGAATAATCATTGGAACACTGGGAACATGAAAATTCCAGTGTTCCAATGATTATTCCAGTGTTCGCATAATATTAATACCCTTGTTCATGTTCCAGTGTTCAATATTCCAGTTATTTGTCACGTTAACATCACTTGTCACAATGATTCAATAGTAACAAAGGCAATAATTTTCCCTATAATTTAAAAGGTATGACAAAATATTACACGGCGAAATGTATTTTATCGTCAAAGGCACATTAATGAAAAAGGAAAGTTGACGAAAATAGATAAAATTTTCGGTAAACTAAAAAACATTTCAATTATTTATTTAAACTCTTTTATATATATACATATACACACTTTAAAATATTTATACCGTCAAAGACTATTATAACTCCTCATCTAAAAGAAAATTAGAAGAAAACGAAAGGAAGAACCTGACACTATAAACATTGGAAAAACACAAACTACAAGAGAGTGCGATAATGATTATAATTATTAAAGATATTAATTAATTTTTTAACTGATTCAGCTTTAGCAATATAAAAATTTTTGACATAATTAACAAAGTGTCAATTTTTAACCTAATTTTTTAAAAAACGTCATCTAGAAGGGAATTTATCAGGAAATTCATATATTTTTTGTGCCAAAATAATGTGTTAATTTATAGTTGAAAAAAAATTCATTGTTTTTGTACCATTTTTTTGTAACATGTTTGATATAATTATAATTTAATTCTTCTTTATGGTTGACATGACAGCCAAAATTTAACGATTTCTTTGATGGTTCTATAATAAATATGAATCCTATTTAAGGATTCCAATTCCTGCTATAATTTATCACGCGGAATTCTTTATAAATCACAAAATATATTAGTTGATGGTTATTAATAAGTTAATTACGAATAAAAATAACAACTTATACAACTTATACAACTTATATAACTTACAAAACCCGTAACAAATTATTAAAGAAATTTTTTTTGTTGTTTCTGTTGTTGTATCTTAATCCATTGGCTAATGCTAATTCAATTATCGTTCATTTTGTCCTTTTGGTTGAGATTTTATTCTTTTAAATTACTTGTTTTTTATCTGTATACATGTATACAATAATAATGATAATAACACAACAACAAGTGAGAGATTGAGATCAACACAACAAAAATAATTATGTTCTATATACGATATCGCATTTCAACGAATCAGAAAATTGCGTATCCATTTAGAAATTAATTTAAATTATATTATGCGCTAATCATGTTACAACGGATTCACGTGATATACAAGGTTATAATTTCCCAATTTCCCAGATTTTACCACATTACTGAAATTTCCAAATAATGATTTTACACGAATAATTCTCTGGTATTATTCCTTTAGATTATGAAGAACAAGTTGGAGATCAACGCAAATATAAACGATCAAAGAGATGTCCTTGATAATTTAATTGACAGATTAAATTTCAGTTCAGCATTAACAACAGAAGAATATATATCAATTGGTGATGATTAGATTAATGAAATGCCAACCAGAGAGGAAATTCTTGGTTCTTTTGAGCAAATTGAAGAGGAAGATGTTATTGTAAGTAGTACGTACAACTATTTCTAATATGAAACTGTAAAAGCTTTTGAAACTGCTTTTAATTTTCCTGAACAAAATAATATGAATTAAAAGCTTTAAAATCATTGAAAAAGAAAATAGAAACATATAGTATTCAAAATTCAATACAAATAAACATTACCAGTTTTTTCAGGCGCTTGATTTTTGTAAATTTTACGGATTTAGGTTGACCAGTCACTTATTATTATGCTTAGACCCGTTGAAACGAGGTTTGACGGTATAAAAATATAAAGCAAAATTGACATTGAGAGCCAGATTACTTTCGATTTTATTAATAACTTGTTTAAAAATTTTTCTCAAGTAAATATATATTATGATGAAACCATATTTTAAATTTGGTGACGATTGCTATGTAAATTCAAATGTTACAACCTGTATATAGACGGGTTTGATGGAAGAAAGTGTTAGACAAGATGAACGAAGCTTTCAAAGCAAGCTTTGTAAATATACCGATGAAAGTTTATCAATTATTCAATAAGTTATATGGGTGGGTTTGGTGGAAACAAGTGTTAGACAAGATGAATGAAGCTTGCAAAGCAAGTTTTATAAAATATACTGATGAGCGTTTAGCAATTATCCAGCAGTTGTATATAAGTATTTCAAAATTCAAAAAAAAAACGTAAATACTCTTTACCTATTACTATATATCTTATATCTCATTAAACATTTAACCGAATTGGTTCAAAGAAAGTCTGAATTTTATTGTAAATCATATTCAAAAATTATTTATAGTTAATACTGTAATATGTAGTGATATTAATTTATTAATGATTTTAAATCACAATTCGTTGACGCTTTTTTGATAATAATATTAAATGTCTTTTTACATTCCTCTTCTCCTTTTTTGACAATTGTATATTATTGTTTATATTATTTGGTCATTATAATCATTACTACTTAGGTATATAGGAATAAATGTAAAAGAAAGACCTATTTATTTATTGTGTTTATTTTTAAAATAAATGATTTTACTATAAAGGACATACTTAAATCGAACGAAAACTATGAAAATATTCACAATAATTACAATAATTACATTATTTGGACATTTATTTCTGCAATTAGACGCGCTAAACAAATTTCTACATATGAGAGTATAAATGCAAAATTCGATTTTAAGACTGGATTATTTTCGGTTTTATTAACAACTTGCTTTAAAATTTCTTAAAGAAGATGTTTATAAATAAGTTATATCTCAAATTTGGAAGTGATTGTTACATGACAAGGGCATTAAACAAAGATAAATTCCAGATATACACAAAAGGATAATTATAATAATAATAATAATCTATTCTAAGGGGATAGATAAGGAAGGTTACAATATATCCTTATTATTTTGTCAAATAATAAACAATAGAGGTGTATATATATGTTATTAGTATATCATTTCCATATATATATATATATGCCCATATAATAAATACTTTAAATGCCCACCCAATTCCTGGGAAAGGAAACTATGCCCTATTACTATTTTTTATTTCCTGTTACTATTCCTATTACTATTTAATTTATTTATAAACTGGGGAGGAGGACATATAATTTCACCTTATGCGGACAATATATTTTTAGGATCATCCCTTTACTCCGGAGATAGAAAATTAAATGAGGAGTTTCTGTTATCGTCATTGTTTACAAACCCGTATGTTGTAGCAGTTCCTAAAATAATAAATTCATAAATAACCGTAGTAGAATTAAGAGCGTTAACGACCGAATCGGGTTATCACCATATGGCAAGTAAGTAGTGGTATATAAATAGAAATGACGACATTGGACCCCGGAAATGATTCGCTAATCTTAATATAATTACAGTTGTGTAACGTTTATACTTCTTTACGAAAAACGGAAAAGAAAAGAAATATAGTCTTTTTAACAAAATACAATTACTAAAATAAAAAAGTAATTCTTCGACAAAGAGTAGAAAATTTCTATTATCGAGGGTCATCATTATATGATTATGAAGAAAATGCAACAGCGTGTAATCATTTAATTAATTGATTGTTTTACATTAATATTGATATTCAATGATGCCATATTGTATCTTTAGTATTAGTATTAGTAGCGATAGGTGGTTGTGATTGTGGTGATGATAATAAAATATGATAATGATGGTAATAACAACAGCTAGCACAATTCACAATTGGTTTTATTACGTATAATAATAAATATGAGGAAGTGGCTACTACTACTACGCTTATTACTTATACTAGCCTGTATATATATATAAAAGCATGGTTTTTACATAATGTGTGTGATACATACAAACATATTTATTATATATAGCATAAATGCCCTTAATTCTAATTTTAAAAAAAATAAAATAACAAACAATCTCGTGATCAACATAAGGAGAATTCTAAAAAAAAAACTATAAAAATCATTGATTATTCCATCATTCTTTTTAAAAAAACAAGTGTCTTCATTTAAAAATTTAAATAATTATTCCAAGGTTTTTTTTTTTTTAATTAAAAAAAAAAATCGTATGTATTTATTTCAATAACATCGAACGAATATTATTTTTGAAAAAAAAAAATAAAAAAAAAATGACTATTTTTGTTCCAACGACGAAAAATTTTCAGTCAATTCATCAAAATCGTAGGTTTTTTAATTTCAAATTGAAATTATTCACAGTTATTCGTTACAAAAATTAAAAATTTATACAATTCATATTAAATGCATTTATTAATCAGAATAAAAATAACAATTATTATATAAACCATCAGCTTGTAATAGAATGGAATCAATCGAAATAACTGCAAATAGTAACAGCGCGACTACGACAAGTATGGAGGGAATTGTAGCTACAATTCCAGAGAAAACGTTTATCGACTCCACAGGAACAGAAACCTTAACGAAAAATCACAATAGGCAAGAAAATGGCAGTAACCAAAATGTTAAAGGTCATCAATCAAATCTTGGCGATGCTAGCGATAACCAGGGAAAAAATATTTTGGCGGAAAGCCTTGTCGGTAAGTAAATAGTTGATAATATTAAAAATATTTTGATTATATTGCACTGTTGTTTTATGTATTGTTTATTATTTTATATTTATATAGATGCTTTTTTTTTCATATTTGGTGTGTATTAGAAACAACTATCTTAATAACCAATGTGATTTGGTGCAATTTTCCTTTACTTCCAAACGTTCAAGTAATTCCACTTCGCCTATACATCCAAGAAACATTGAAAAGGTCAAGAACTTCTTTGTCGACTTTGCAAACAGCTCTGCTCTACCTTTTAAGAATAAAACCGAAAATTGGATCCATTTACTTAAACTTGAGCTCATCCTCCAACTCAAACTTGAACTCGAGCTCAAACTCGAACTCGAATCCAAATATTATAAATATAGATTCTGCAACATGTGGTCGAAGAATGTTTCTAGCATCATTGATTGTTGCGTCGAAATATTTACAGGACAATAATTATTCAAATAATGCTTGGTCGAAGATTAGTGGGTTATCACTTAAAGAAATTAATTCGATAGAACGAAGATTTTTACAATTGATTGTTTACAACCTTTATGTTTCAGAAGAAGTGTTTAACAATTGGACAAATTTGTTGGATTCTCATATAAAAACAATATTGAATAATAATGATAGTCCTAATGATAACAATAACAATAACAATAATAATAATAAAGATAACAATAGTAACATTGATAACAAAAGTAATTATAGTAATGATGGTAATGTTAATAGTAATTTTAGTAATAATAATATTAATAATAGTAATACTGGTAATAGAGGAAATCAAACAGCCGATAATCACAAACGAAACTTTTTCATGATAAATTCTTCCACAACCACAATCTCTTCTAAAGAATGCGAGATTAAAGGCTAAACTTATTGTGACAGAATATAAAAACTTTAATAAATAAACAAAGCAAGTTCATTTTTTTATTGAATATCAATCTAATATTAAAATGAATAAATCATTTATATGAATTTCCAAATTTGTAAATAATTCTCTTTCATAAATAAAGTAATAATTAATTGGTTGTTTTTTTTTATTAATCAATTTACAAAGAAGGAAATTTATAAATCTCAAATGATTGATTTCTTTCAATACAGGTCATAATTAATAAAAAATAAAAAAAAAAATTTCCAAAAATAATTTCTTTTTTTTTTAAAAAATTAATTTCTCAAAGAAATTTTATAACAATTAATCAATCAAACAACAACCAAAAAAATGTGCTTTGTAAGTATTTCTTTCTTTCTTTCTTTCTTGTTCTTGATTTAAATTTCGTTCACTAATGATCATGTTTTATAGCGTGTAACTTGTAGAAAGTGTAACAAATATACATGGTCTGGATGTGGCAGACATGTTGATTCTGGTATATTAAAATTGATATTATTATTATTATTATTTATTTACTCTGTTTTTTAATTGTTTTAAAAGAATGTTATCCCAAAAAATATTTTGTTTCTTTCTTTCTAAAATAAAAAGTCATGAAAGATATTCCGAAAGAAGAAAGATGCACTTGTAACGAAATAAAAGCACCAGAGACGGAGACAAAGACAGAAACAAAGGCGAAACAGGTATATAATAATAATAATAATAATAATAATAATAATAAATAATAATAATAATAATAATAATAATAATTAGTATTATTATTTCTTAATGTTGTTGTCATGATGACATTTTATTTATTCATCTTTATTCTTCTCACCCGTATATATTATTAGTAAATCACTATTGGTGGCTACAAATGACTTATGCTAAATTTTACATATAATAATCCCCAATTTCTAATTTTTTTTTTTTTGTAATATTTATTATTATATTACGTGATTAGTTTGTCCGGGGGATAATTATGTGTTATAATTAGTGTAGTTTAAATAAGTAAAAACGTGAGATGTTGTTATTGTATTACTATTATTTTACCATTTTGCCTATCAAAATATTTTTATAAATTGAGTTAAAAAAAAAAAGTGTTGTGTGTATATTATGTAAAAGAAAATGTCGACAAAATTGCTTTCAGTTTTTTCTCGAGATATTTTTAATCTTTTGGAAAATTTAGAAGAATTTAATGTTACAATACATGTTGGTGAACAACCTAATGTTAGAATATTTCATGCGCATTCTCTTATCCTAAAAGCTCGTTCCTCTTATTTCAATACTGCTCTATCTAAACAATGGGCAAAACAAAAAGATGAAAAAAATATATTAAATCAACCAAATATATCTCCTGAAATCTTTGAAATCATATTAAGGTATTTACAACTATAAAGTTACACGCACACATATACATTTGATAAATTCTTGAGTGATATTAATATATAATATATAATAGTTATATTTATTCAGGTAAAATTTCATTACAGGAAAGAACTATAACAGAAATTTTAGAAATTTTATCTGCAGGCGATGAATTATTATTAAATGATTTGTTAGACTATATCCAAGATTATTTAGTTGATACAAAAGCAGATTGGTTACCAAATTACATACTAGAAATTTACAGAAAAACATTAGATCATCAATCATGTGAAAAATTGAGAGAATTCATATTGGCAACCATATCAGCAGATCCTGAATTATTATTCAACTCCAAAGATTTTTTGAAAATCGAAGAATCTTTATTGCTACCAATACTTAAACGTGATGATCTTGATATGGCTGAAGATGAGGTCTGGGACCAAATTGTGAATTGGGGAATAGCTCAAGATCTCGATCTTCATCCGGCCATCAAAGAATGGGATTATGACGATTTCAATAAATTGAAAACTATATTAGATAAATGTATTCCATTGATAAGGTTTTTTCAAATGTCCTCGAGTGATTTGTATGACAAAGTATGGTCTCCATTCAGATTAATCTTGCCCCCTAATCTAGAGGATGATATTGTCAGGTGTCATTTGAAACAAGGTAGTAAACCAATATATGGCATCAACACTCCAAGAGGAAATTCCACTTTAATTGGTCATAAAGAAATGTTACGTATTGCGTGTTGGATTGACAAAAATGATACACCGATCAGCAATAACAGTCATATTAATATCAATGGTAATAGCAATAGCAATAGTAATAGTAGTGCAATAAATATTTCTTCCTCTTTATTATCATCTTCGACTCCAATATCATCAACGTCAACGAATAATAACAACATTAACACGAATAACAGTTCGTCATCTGCCAGTAATATTCCCGCCACAACGAACGAGATGCCTTATAAATTTAAATTGTTGGTTAGAGGTACGAGGGATGGATTTGATTCCAAAACTTTTCATCAGAAATGTGATAATCAAGGTCCAACCTTTGTCATAATGAAGATCTCTTCAACCAATGAAGTAATAGGTGGTTATAATCCAATCAAATGGCAAACTGGTAGTGGTCATTTAGAAACAAGAGACAGTTTCTTGTTTACGTTTGGTAATAGAGATAGGATTGAAGACGCAAAAGTTTCAAGAGTATCAAGGTTTAATTATGCAATAACGCTTAAAGATGATTCCTATGGTCCCTGTTTTGGCGATAAAGATTTATGGATGTATGGTAATTTTGACAAACCGGAAAGTTGTTCATCAAAGGAAGACGATTATGAAACTTGGATAACTAAAAGTCGTAAATTTGGTGTTTCAGAATATGAAGTTTTTAAAATTATTAAAAAATAATTATTTATTGATGCTATCTATTTATATTATTATATTATACATTATTACTATTTATAAAGTGTTTATTAATTTATGTAATTGTTAATATTGTGTAGTTATTAATATATATTATTGTAAATTATTCTGTATCACGAACAAATTCTTGAAAATTTAATTGTCTATTATTATATCTCAAATATTCTTCAATTAAACCTCTCTCACTTGCCCCAGGATTTGATCTTGACCAGCTACTAATGTAAAATGTATCTAAATCACCTTTACAATTCCTTAATACTGATTCAAGAATAACAGCATCTCTTTTCCCCCATTCCATATCTAAGCTAATATTTCGCAATCTTGGTGGCAAAATATTGAATAGCTGTGGCATAAAATCACTAAACTCTCGAGTATACTTGTATGATCCGAACAATTTCAAGCTGATTAGATTTTCAGAATTATTATTTAAAAAATTAATTAACAATCTTTTCGTGTCGGAATCGTGTTTATAAGGAAGTGAAATGCGATTTAGAGTATTTTTGTATTTTGAACATAACGTTTTATACAATCGTTCGTCGATGAATATGTCTCTTCTTATCTGATCGTCGACATAGTAAATATCTTTTAATGTTTTGGAATTTGAATTTAATAAATCCATAAATATTTCAAATAGGCCTCGGAAAGAATTTTTTATATGCAGTTTTGTTAATTTGGAAAGGTTTCTTAGAGGTTGTATAATTCCCTCGTCCGAAAATTCACAATGATCCAAGATCAATATTTCCAAATTACTACATTTTGACAAATGATTGAATTCCGAGGTGATTGTGGTGAATTTTGCATAAATTAATTCAAAACTTTTTAAAGTTTTGAATGAACATTTTAATGCAGAAATTTGGTCCGTTAGTGATGTACCATACGAAAAGATTTTTAAATATTCCAGATTTTTTTGTTTTTTAATTAATTCACTAATCGACCCATTACGATTAGATGTATTAAATGTGTTATCGATCAATTCTAGTCTTCGTAGATTAGTCGAATGTTTTGCCAGATCCATTAACAAGTCACCCTTTTTTGGAACGTAACTGATCGATAATTCTTTTAATTGTGATAGGAAAATTGCCGAATTTTTGCAGTGTAGAAACTTTAATTTTTCTCTAGATTTTCTTCTCGGATAATTCCAATCCAATTTAATAGATTTAAATTTTTTACTTTTAACCAAGATCATCCTACATATTGTACGAATTATCAATTTTGTGTGTCTATGACAGACAATTATTGACCTACAATAATGAATGGTATTATTATTATTATGATCGTCGACATTATCATCAAAATAACAAATAATTGTATAAATAATTACAATTTACTTGTCTGAGTTTTCTCAATCCAATTCTCGACCGATAAATGTAAATTTTTCATATTCAAATCTTCCAAATGTTTCGGATAATCCAGAAAAGCAAAAGTCATCGGCCTATTATTATTGTCCGGTAATTTAACGTAATATCTTGATAAATTTGAAGTTTCATGCTTTGATAAACACTTCAAATAGGAGGCAATAATCGTCGAGCTGACCATATTATTGCTAAAAGGCGCCTTCCACAATATCGGAACAACCAGCTCGCAACAGTGTTTATTAAGTAAAAGGCATGAATGTAATGTTTTAATGTCGTTTGATAAGTGCTTGAATACTAAAGCTAAGCAGTCGTATACTAAGGGGACTTTTGGTTTCTCATCATCAGGAGGCAATGGATTGTCATCGTTTCTTTTAATTTTAATTTTTTCCTTTTTGAAAAAAAAAAAATAGATTCTTTTATACATCAGAAATGATAACAATTTATTATTTGAAAATTAAAATTTATTATTTGAAAAATTAAAATTTAGTGTATTTTAATGAATGCATCATAAAACTTTTTAATAATATTTCTGGGGGTATGATAATATTTATAATAATAAAAATATTGCTTCCTTGTTGAATGAATTTAGAATATAATGAAGGAGATTTGTTAGTTTGAGGTTTTTCATTTTACGGAATACGGATTCCGAAAACTTTTTTTTGATTATTAAATATTATGTAAATTATTATGCAATACTTATTAATTTTTAATTCGAAATTAATATTAAAATTATTGCGGAAGAACGATACCGAAACAATTAAATATTTGTCATTTTCTTGATTGTTTTCTCGTCACATTCGTCATAATATTATCAATTTACTTTGATAATGAACAATAATGATAATGCACAATGATAAAGCTCAATTTTCAATTTTGTTTTGTCATTATTCTCAATCCTTTTTAGATTACCAAACTAAGCCAAATATGGGAATGCATTGTTTTAAATATAGATAGATTTTTACCTATATAATAATAAATAAATTTGCTAGGAACTAATTCAATCTTGTTGGAATTGATATATATATTACTAATGTTGGGAAATCTTTGGTGGTGCGATTGTAAAATATAGGTGTTGGATAATTAATCTAACCCTAAACTTGAGTAGTAACGGTAGAGTTGTCCAGCTATGGCTATAATATTTATACACAATAATAATATCGCAAGGAACTGTTAACAGCTGGATGATGGCATTGTTTATTATTTTTGTTAACATTTAATTAATCCTTTATAAAATCAATTTTCTTTTAACATCTAATTGTTGTTATTATTATGAATTTTATTTTAGCCCAACCTGTTTGTAGATTCCGTTATACCAGTTAATTAACGGAGAAAAAATATGCGTCAACTTGTAAATTAAAGTTTCATCACCAAAATTGTAGATTTTCAATTTGCGGTAGTCTTTATCGTGATTGGTGGTAGACTAAGAAATTCCGGAAAAGTTTGCAGGCATCATGGGATAGCAGAAAAATCAAGAGATTCGGGAAAATATTATAATGAATGAAGTAAAAAAGATATATACTATAATTTGTTCACTCATAGGGAAAGTTTATGAAAACAACCAAATGCTTATTGTCTAATCTTAGCTAGTAACATTATTAATAAGGACGGTAATGGTATGAAGATCAATATCTGAATATCTAGAGGATTTTTGGTCCTTCCAAGATCAATTTTAGCAACTTGTTTTATTAGGATCAACATTTCATTACTTCTTTCTGGTGTGACTTTTCTGCCTCATATGAGACTGTCTCCAGCAAAAATCACCTCCGAGGTCTTTTGGCCAAACTTGTGGTTTTTATTCTATAACATATAGATTGCAATTGGTAAGGATATTATTATTTGCATAATAATAATAATAGTACGGAAAGAATGTACGGAATCTTCCTGTTAAATGCGCCAAAAAGTACGGGATAGGTACGGAATGCATGCTAATACTAATACTAATACGAAACACACACGGAGCACACATGGGATTTACCATTACGGAAAGCATACGAATCCGTTTTTCTGTACGTTTTCCGCACGAATTTCATATTAGCACATCACGTATTCATACGGGATACATACGAGAAAAACGAATTCTATATTGGTATTAGTATTAGAATGTTTTCCGTAAATCCCGTGTGTGTTTCGTATTAGTATTTAGCATCCTATCTCGTACGAATCCCGTGCATTTAATAAATATCAAAAAACGATTGATTTTTTTAGAAAAAGGTTGTGATTGTGGTTGCTCTTCAAGAATTCCCCAAGGAAGAATTTGCAAGAATTATATGAATTCGTTCATTATTATAAGTTTACAAATGAGGAAGCAAAATGAGCCGTCGAGATTTTCTTTATGCTTCCAAATTCAGCAGTCAAAATTTATTCTTTACCACAACTTTCGTTATTATTGGCGCGCACTAAATATACTTGGTCTTTGATGGAATTAAAAAATTGAATAAAGGTGCGTGCTGTAACCATTTGTATTTAATGATTTGCAATTATTATAAGTGTTTAATTAAATTTCATGATTCCAGGGCATATCAAATTCTAATAGCTTTGGATTGATCAAAGAAATTATATCGAAAGATGTCGTAAAAAAGAAATCCCTCATTACTTATAAGTAAATAATGTTTCAAAACCTTGAATTGTTTAATTTTATTATTATTTAAAAATTACAAAAAATCAAAAATACAAACAATCAATCTTGTTATAATTACAATTACAAATCATTAATTAACTCTATGAATTATTTTTCACCAAGAGAAACCTCCCGTTATTAATACTATTA